TCTTTATAAGACCATCAATGCAATGCAACAATCTTTTGGTTAAAACTAGATGTATCGTAAAAAAAATAATTTTTATTGCTGTCTATCTCAAATGAACACATAATATTCATCAACAGATTACACATGACAAATGCCTCAGTTGAGAAAAATTAATGCAAGTAATTCTAATATTACCTTTCATGTGTGGAGAACGTATATAATTTATATTTATTACATTCCATTTTATGAAAAATATGTGTCATATCATATTTCAGTATTTTAAAGACACTATATCATTTTTATTATAACTATCTGGGAATGGTCATGGGTTGAAAAGTGCAGCATTACAAAATATATTAGTAAATACGTGTAATTTAGACGAGTACCGCTAGTAACTTGTAAATTCTAATTTCTAAATTGTAAGACGAGGAGGCGGTGAATGAGGAAGAGGAAAATGAGTTGAAAGGGAAAGATAATGATGATAAGGAGTAGGATGGCTTAAAATTGTAAGATGAAAAGGAATATTAAGAAGAAAAGAATAAGGTGAAAGTATACGACAAAGAGAATGAGGAGTAGAATTGGTAAGTGGAGAACAAGGTAAAAGTGTGTAAGGAAGAGGAGAAAGGGTAAGTGAAAAATAAGGGGAAAGTGTAAAGCGAGGAGGGGGAGGAGTATGAAGAAGAGGAGAATAAGGTGAAAAAGTGTAAGACGAAGAGAAGGGGCATAGGTAAGTGGAGTAAATTAAGAGTATAAAACGAGAAGGAGGAGGAAGAAGAAGAGGCGGAGGAAGAGTTGAAAGAAGAGTAGAATAAAGTGAAAGTCTTAGACGTAGAGTAGGAGACATCGGAGTAGGAGAAAGAGAATGAAGAGCGGGAGAATAAGATAAACGTATAAGCCGATGAGCAGGAGGAGGAGAAGAATGAATTCGAAGAAGATAAGGTAACATTTTAGGAGGTGAGAGAAAAAGAGGAGTTGACGGAAGAAGAATTTTAAATGTGATTTCAAGAAGATAATAGCGAAAAGAGAATGTGTAGGAATTTGAAGGAAATGAAAAGTCAGGAGATTAAAAGAAGGTGAAAGGTAATAATAATAATAATAACAACAACAATGACAATACTACTACTACTACTACTACTACTGGCACATGGGAACATCAACAATCCCTGTTGTAGTTGGAACCCTAGGATTGGTTGGAAAAGATTCCAGTAGACTCACTGAAGGGATTTCTGGAAGCCCATGTCTCAAAGAAATACAAAAAATTGTTCTCACAAGTACAGCCCACACTTTACGCAGGGCTTTATCTATGTAATTTTTTTTTTTTTTTTGTCAGTGGAAAATGTCATGATGCCATTTCTGACCTTAGGTCTCAGGACGGGTCCCGGAAAGTAATGTGTACACACCAGAAAGCAAAGGAAATAAAATAACAACAACAACAACAACAACAACAACAATAATAATAATAATAATAATAATAATAATAATAATAATAATAATAACATCAACAATCGCTGTTGTAATTGCTGTCCTCAGATTGGTTGGAAAAGATTCCAGTAGACTCATTGAAGGGATTCCTGGAAGCCCGTCTATTAAAGAAATACAAAAAAAAATTGTTCTCACGAGTACTGTCCACACTTTACGAAGGGCTTTATCTATGTAAAATATGTGTGTGTGCGTGTGTATTTGTGTGTGTTTTTTTTAATTGGTCAGTGGAAAATGTCGTGATGCCATTTCTGATCTTAGGTCTCTGGACGGGACCCGGAAAGAAATGTGTACACACCAGAAATCAATGGAAATAATAATAATAATAATAATAATAATAATAATAATAATAATAATAATAACACATGTCGGCGATATAAGGAATAGGGGTCAAGAAATACAGAAATGTAATCATAAAAGTTAAATAAAAAATCAAGAAAAAAACAAAGTTTAATATAAATATTAAAAAGTTTAATAAAAAATATAAAATCGACTAATGACAAATAATAGATTATATTGAAAAAATATAAAACTATGAATAAAATGTAACAAAGTGCAATAAACAGATATAAAAACTCATAAAAATATAAAATAATTAATAAAAATATAAAAAGAGTTTAAAATTTTTAAAATTAACCTAATAAAAAATATGTTTTACATAAATATTAAAAAATATTAATAAAAAAAAAAAATTCTAATAAAAATTGATAAAATGTAAAAGTAACTAATAAAATCGTAAGAGATATTAAAAAAATAATTAAAAATATTAAAAAAAAAACAAAAAACTATAAAAATATTAAAAGACTAATAAAGAAAGATCAATAAAAATATTAAAAAAAATGACTAAATCTAGAAAGAAAGAAAAGAAAATTGTAAATGAAGGAGAATACAGAGAGAGGGAGAGAAAAGTAGAGAGAATCACGGATTAAAGGAAATAAGAAGAAAAGAAAGAGAAAAAGAGACAACTATGGAGTAAAGTAGAGAAAAATAGATAAAGAGAGAGAAATGGTGATAGTAGCACGGAGTAAAGGAAATAAGAGAAAGATGGAAAAAGGAACAAGATATATGAAGTAAAGAGAAAAAGAAAAGGACTAAAAGAGGAAAAAGGAAAGAGAAGTACGGAATAAAGAAAAAAAAGAGAAAAGAAAGAGAGTGGAAAATGAGCGAAGTACGGAGTAAAGGAAAAAAGAAAAAGAAAAAGAGAGGAAAAACGAAAAAGAAGTACGGAGTAAAGGAAAGAAGAAAAAGAAAGAGAAGTACGTAGTAAAGACCATTTAAGACATTTGCGCGAAAACGTATTACAAATTTAATAAATTCTTGCTCATTCAACTACTTCAACTACTTGTGTTATTGTTATATGAATACTTAATTTTTGTGAACTCTAATGATTTATGTAAATTCCCATGCTACATAATTAAAATTAGTTTCATTATCGAGCAGCATTTATTAACAAGAATTGTTCTACTTGTTCTTCAATCAAAACTATAGTCCGTGTGCTATTATACACGTGACTGAAATCTATTTTCCCCAATCTAACAAATGACCAGACTTCTGAATTTTGTTTGAAGTCCCTGCTGTAACGGGTCCAGAACGTTTCCGTATAATCCAGCATGTATATATATATATATATATATATATATATATATATATATATGTGTGTGTGTGTGTGTGTGTGTGTGTGTGTGTGTGTGTGTGTGTGTGTATGTGTGTGTGTGTGTGAAAATATATAGAAAATAAGGAAAGAACTGGTTAGGTAAATAATCAAAAGTTCTATAGTATTTTGTTATTATTTTTAAAAATAGTGCTCGATACAAAAGTAGAGCATAAATCTATTTTTTAAAAATAATAACAAAAATACTAAAGAACTTTGGATTATTTACTTAACTGGTTCTTTCCTATTTTCTATATATTTTCACATATATTAACTCCTGAATTAAGGTCAAGCACTCTGAACCTTTATTTTTTTAAATTAATATATATATATATATATATATATATATATATATATAAATAGATAGATAGATAGATATAAATGAACATAGACATCAACACTTAGAAGCGACAGTCTGTTTCATGCTAGATGCAATCGTCAGGCCATCTGACAATTGTATCTAGCATGAAACAGACTGTCGCCTCTCAGTGTTGACTTCTATGTTTACTTTTATATTTACATACGCTCTATCTCTGATATTGAGCACTTTATCCCATAAATATAGCATATTTTCAGACGATATTTCTTTATATATATATATATATATATATATATATATATATATTGTGAAATGGACTAAGTCCGACAATTATTTTAATATATTTATTGTTTATACGTTATCTTTATAGATACAAATAGTTAAGTACATGCTCGGTTTATAATAAACAGTATTAGATACATTTACCGGCTTGAATGTCGGATAAATCTCATAGAAAATGTTCTTCAACAGAAATCGAACCTGTATCCTACACGGAACTTTCGTATACCCTGTTGTGTTATACCATTTAACCACAGAGGAAGCGTCTGCTAAGCAAGGTAAACATTGTTATTCTGTTTATTATAAATAAATAATTGTATCTATAAAAATAACGTATAAACAATAAATACGACCTTGCTAACCGGATGCTTCCTTTGTAGTGTAGCATGTTAGGTTATATGACAGTTCCGTGTATGATACAGGTTCGATTCCTGTCGGCTGACATATTTTCTATGAATTTTTTCGTATATTCAGGTCGGTAAATGTTGTTTATTATAAACAGCATTTTTTATAAATATGTGTATCTATAAAAATAACGTATAAACAATAAATATATTTATATATATATTACATATACGTGTATGTGTGCGTAAAATTTTCAGATATAAGTAAAATATCTGTAAAAGGTCAATAAGAATAAATATACATGTTCATATATAAATATGCATATTCATATATATTTTTTATATTTATTTTTTAATTTTTATTTTCAAAAATATATTATATATATATATATATATATATATATATATATATATATATATATAACACATCACGACTGTTACACACACACACACACACACACACACACATATATATATATATATATATATATATATATATATATATATATATATATATATATATGAAAATTTCTCTGATTTAACCAGTAGAAGACAATATTTATGAATAAAAATGACAATAGGAAAACTGGTAATTGCTGACGCGTTTTGTATTTTGCTTTGATAAAGTCCACATTGGACGAAACGCGTCAGCAATTACCAGTTTTCCTATTGTCATTTTTATTCATATATATATATATATATATATATATATATATATATATATATATATATATATATATATGTAAACTTGCACATATAACTAAAATCTATATCTATAAAAGGACAATATAAATAAAAACAAAAAGGAAATCTTAGCCGACGCGTTTCGTACTTTGATAGACGTTATTCAGGTAATCCTTAGATTTGCATTGGTAAAGTCCATCGGAGAACGAAACACATCGACTAAAATACGTTTTTTCTTCATTTATATATAATTATGTATATATACAGAGTGCAGCAGAAATACCTCCCACATAATGGTAACACATTAGATAGATGAAGGCACCATTTTCACTAATGTTTTACCATTATGTGGGAGGTATTTCTGGAAACTCTATGTGGCAAGTTTATCTGTCGCACTCTCTCTTTCTCTCTCTCTTTCTTTCCCTCTCTCTCCATCTCTCTCTCTCTCTCTTTCAATATATATATATATATATATATATATATATATATATATATATATATATATATTATCGGGGAAATGGAAATGTCTAGAAAATGCCTTGTTCGCAGTATCATGTACAGAAAATTTGCGCCCTGACTCTTACAACATTTCACTGGCAGTTCTTCTAATGTTGCAGTGCGGAATACCTTTTAACAAAAATGATGGAAAGCAAAAGAAAGAGACTCTAAATAAATTCGGCTGATAAAAAAAAATAAAATCTAAAAAATTCTAAAAATTTCCATTTCCATCTCTTGTGCCTATGTGTAGTCTTACGATTATAACAAATTTAATCCGATGAAGTCCTGAAACGCGTCACAAGTAAACTTTTTCCATTATGTCACACAATTTCCCCAATACTGTTCTTCATATATATGGTAGTCTCTCCCGTTGTATTCGACGTATGAGGATCAAGCAGCTCAGTTCCTAGAAACCGACAGCACAGACACCAGCACATATGATTTGATTATAGTGGTGAAGGCTTTGTGCAGAACCAAATACACTTTTTGAAGGGTCGAATACTGAGACTTGGTGCACTACGTGCCACAAGGTCCCCAAACGACCCTCCGTAGGTATTGAATTCAGAATTGTCCTTCTCCGAGACCAGTTGCCATCAAGGCTATAGAACCCAGTCTGTCCTGCTATTTACCCATAGCTAGAGGAAGAAGATATATATATATATATATATATATATATATATATATATATATATATAAGAAAAAAATATGGGAAAAAAAAATCCGAATATGCAAGTATGCTGTTTTAAACGGAACGCTGATCTTAAAAATTTCAGTTATTCTGTTTTGATTAGTCTTATGTCTATCGTCTTTTCATGTTGACTTGAATATCATCTAATTTTAATTATGTTTTAATAACTATGTCCGAAAGAAGGTCTACTAGACCGAAACGTCTGACGTCGACATTGAAACAACATTAAAACAGCATACTTACATATTCGGATTTTTGTTTTTCCATATTTTTCTTCATATTGTCGGATCTATATCCACATATTTGCTTACATATATATATATATATATATATATATATATATATATATATATATATATATATATAACTTGTGTATATAATCTATGTCCAGCGTATATTCTTTCTCAGTATGATCCGGGTATTGAACTAATAACCACTAAATGAAAGCAACGCATGTTTTAATCTTATACTACAATACCTTCCACACCATATCAGTTTGTATATTTTAGCCTTTCTTATTCAGTGACAATATTCAATATATATAGATATGAGTTAGGCACCTCGAGGTGGTGTAATGGTTAGCAAGCTTATCTGGCTAGAACGATTACGACTGTGCTACCCTACTTTCGGCCTTGTGCCACATCTAAGCTATGCTTGGAAAATCAATATATAGATATGATTGATCGCCACTCAATATCAAAGGACATAAGTCTCATTACTGGAACAAAGACTGCATCGAATTCGCGAAAAGTCGAATGGTATTTCGAGGTATTGCTGGGGCGATTTTAGTGTTAATGATGGTCTAGCTAAAAAAAAAAAAAAATGCATGAACCCCTGTTTTCATTTGAGGAAGGCTTTGTTGAAGTTATTTCTGCTGTGAACAATTAAGTACGAAACAAAAATTATTAAGAAAATCCCAGCTTTCGGATTTTATTCAAACCACTCCATCTACTTGAATCAGCTAGTGTAGATAGATAGATAGATAGATAGATAGATAGATAGATAGATAGATAGATAGATCATGCGTCGGAGGGCTGCTTTTCTCAAAAGTCATTAAGATTCTGACTATTAGCCGAGTTTTAAAAATTGGTGTATAGAACAGAAATAACTATGGCAATCATATTTGATAAAGCAGTATGAAAGTGACTTTTTAAAAATAATCTTAAAAAAAACAAGATGGTTACTCTGGCCTGATATATAGTTTTTCCTCTTATATGTACAGTGTTCATTCATAACGTAGACATTAAAACGGATAAAGAAAAACAGATAGATAGATAGATAGATAGATAGATAGATAGATAGATAGATAGATAAAAAGAGACTGATGAACAGATTGGGATAGATAGATAGATAAAGAGAAACAGATGAACAGATTGGGATAGATAGATAGATAGATAGATAAAAGAGACAGATAGATAGATAGATAGATAGATAGATAGATAGATAGATAAAAAGAGACAGATAAACAGTTTGTGATAGATAGATAAAGAGAAACAGATGGACATAGATAGATAGATAGATAGATAGATAGATAGATAGATAGATAGATAGATAGATAGATAGAGACTGATGAACAGATTGGGATAGATAGATAGATAGATAGATAGAAAAGAGATAGATAAATAGATTTGATAGATAGATAGATAGATAGATAAAAGAGAAACAGATGGATAGATAGATGAGATAGATAGATAGATGAGATAGATAGATAGATAGATAGATAGATAGATAGATAGATAGATAGATAAAAAGAGACTGATGAACAGATTGGGATAGATAGATAGATAGATAGATAGATAGATAGATAGATAGATAGATGATGAAAGAGATAGATAGATGATAGATAGATAGATAGATAGATAGATAGATAAAATAGATATGAATAGATAGATAGATAGATAGATAGATAGATAGATAGATAGATAGATAGATAGATTAAAAGTGAACGGAATGTTATTTTGGTGGCCCATCAAAGGATTCAAAGAAACTATGAATGTGAAAAACAGGCAAAGGCAAAGTCATCCTAGAACTGCCGAACCCCTAACCTCATCAAAACCACGCGGGAGAAGCTGAGAAGAAATCCGAAGTTGTGAAAGAGACGAATGTGTCCATCGGAACCATATCAACCGCTCTCCACACACAAAGACCTTAATACATATCCTTACAAATGCCAAAAGAAACTGCTGTTATCTTCAAGATCTGTGTCAAAACAAGAACACAAAATTCCAAGTCTTCCCCGAGCGCATTTGGACAGACACGCTTCCGTACATTGTGTTCAGTGGTGATAAAAAATATGATGTTCAACAGCATTTTAATGACCAGAACGATAGGATTTACTCTTGAATTGGAGACAGTGAGCATGGGACAGTTGCTCGAAGACAAGCAGTGGCCTCAGTGATGGTGTGAGCGGCTGTAAATGGAACAGGAAAAAGTCTACTGGTTTTTGTGGTAGCAGGGTTTAAACTAATGATATTCTTGAATCATCGCAGTTGCTTTGGGCTAAAAAATTATAAAAACCGACCTGGGAAATTCCAACAATACTCAGCACTCTCTCATGAGGCCAAAGCAACAAAGAGTGGTGAGCAACACATGTTTCTCACTTCACATCAAATGAAGAATGGCCTCCATCATTCCCAGATCTGAATCCTCTTGACTACAGCATCTGGGGGTTTCTGCTACACCTCGCCACAGTTTAGAGTCTCTGAAGGCAAAATCCTTGAAAGAATGGGACAAAATCTCTCAAAGAATTATCCGTGCCTGATTCGAGCAAGTTATTGCAGAAGGAGGTTTCATTGAACAGATAGCGTATCAAATAAGTTTATAGTCATTTAGTTTTTGTTTCCGCTTTGTAAAATATTTACAAATTGTTTTGTTCAATAAAGTTGTACAAAAACGTTGTAATGCCAATTATTGACTATCTATCTATCTATCTATCTATATCTATCTATCTATCTATCTATCTATCTATCTATCTATCTATCTCAGTTTGTTTACTCTCTATATATATACACACACACACACACACACACACACACACACACACACACACACACACATATATATATATATATATATATATATATATATATATATATATATATATATATATATATATTCAGGGACGTTTCACCTTTATTAAGATTTCGTCATTCTTTATATTAAAACGACCCAGTTTCAAATTTTGACTTTTTTAGTTGAATACAAGAATCCACGCAATTATTCTTATTAACATGCAAAATCTCGTAAGTTTATCTATCTAGCTATTGTTTACTGTCTTTCTCTATCTCTCTCTCTCTCTCTCTCTATATATATATATATATATATATACACACACACACACACACACACACACACACACACATATATATATATATATATATATATATATATATATATATATATAGGGACGTTTCACCTTTATTAAGACTTCGTCAGAGATCGAGAATAGAAATGAAATAAAGAGAGAGAGAGAGAGAGAGAGAGAGAGAGTACTGGTATATTATGATTATGAATTGGTTCTCCTTGGTCAGACACGATCACGGGTATTAACGCAATAGATAATATATAAATATGTGTGAGGAACATTTTCAACGTTAAAGTGTGTGATAGTGTAAGAGTGTAAGTAAAAAAAACGCTTGTGTGACTAGGTATATGTTGGATGGTAACGTTAATTCATGTACTTGTATAAGTATATATATATATATATATATATATATATATATATATATATATATATATATATATATGTGTGTGTGTGTGTGTGTGTGTGTAATTAAGTCTTTAATATTATTCTAGTAGCGCATACACACGTACAGAATTATCAAATGGCGCATCTCTGAATACATGCCACCTCTCTCCCATTAATATATATATAATATATAAATATATATGTATGTATGAATGTATGCATGTATGTGTGTGCATGTGTGCGTTTTTCGCCAAAAAAAATGAATAACTTTGATATTAATTAAGTACTATTACATTTGTTGTCGGTGTACTTATAAAATAAGGTTTACATATATCGGGTATGAATACATTTCAGCCATCATAATTAATACAATAAGCAAATAATTTTATGACCCAGGTGTAATCAATCCATGATTTTGTTTTAGCCTAATATCAAATAAATTAATTGATCCACTTAATATTGACTTACATACTAAATTGACTTATATGTTAAATTGTTATTTTTTTATATGCTGAATTGACTTACATATTTAAGTAAATTGACATATATGTCTCGAATAAGGCCAGAAGAGGTTTCTATAATGAAAATGTGTTAGTAGGATTATCTATTGATTTTAGATTAGCACGGAATTAAGCCAAATGTAGAAGTAAGAAGATTGTGTTGCATCAAACATTTCACTGGAAGAGGATTATCTATCTTAAAAGAAAATTAGCATACAAAATCTTTGACAGTAACGGGAGGCATTCAGTTAGCACAGCCACGACACACGCACACAGACACACAAACAGACACACACACGCTACCCCCCACACACACACTCACACACATACTCACACACATACACACCCACACACATATAGTTATTATGTGCATTATAAAGTGAAACATTCCTTGTATAATGTTTAATCTGTATGCTTAATAATTACTTCATTGATTAAGTGCTTTAACATGGAATGAGATTATAATAAAAAATACATTTTTGATTTTGTAATATAAAAGCTATTAGGCTACTGTCTAACGCGCGTGCGCGCGAGCACACACACACAGACACATACAGAGAGTAGCCCCACCAAAAACTGCCATCTTTTAAAATTCGAATATCTACGTAACTACATGCCCCGGGCAAACAAAATTAAATAGGCTTCATGCTGAACAATAAAAGATTTGTCAAAATTCGAACAAGATTTTCAAAGGGATTTCCATTTTATAACCGATTTCACAAAGCTTCCGAAATGTTCAATATGCGAACCACCAGTGACACGACCCCTTCAACTCGGTAGACCAGCTTCTGTCAAACACGCTGTAGCATGTCTTGCGTAACATTCTCCAGTGCCTCGGTGACTCTCTGCTTAAGTTCTTCTAGGCTTTTAGGAAGAAGAGTAGATATAGACCTGTCCTGTCACACAAATCCCTAGAGAAAAAAATAACAGAAGATGTCAAGTCAGGTGAACATAGTGGCCATTTCAACAGCCCATTGTCATTATCACTGGAACGCCCGATCCATGTTCCCGATAGATTCTCATTGAGATAAGTCCGCACAATCAACTTAGTTTACTTTTTACATATTTTGTTAAAATTTGAGATCGTTTGAGCGAGAATTCGTTATATGATTAGAACACAAAATGATGTCAGTTTTGTGGGAACACCCTGTATATTGTTAAAATATATTTATTATAATTGTGGAATAAAGAGAGTAGAATATCAAAGGTATAGTGTCTGTAGATACAGACAGTTTGAGGTATTCATGTTCCACTATACAGTGCAGATTTCTTGATCTGCTCTCTCTCGATATTTCTATCTATCTATCTATCTATCTATCTATCTATCTATCTATCTATATATATATATATATATATATATATATATATATATATAATATTAGTGGTAAATATACACATACATATGCAAATATATAAATATATATACATACATGCATACACATACATATATATTTTGTATAAAAAAAAATCCAAGAGGATAGAATCCAGGTAGAACTCAATGTCCAGGACAGAGTAATAAAAAGGCTTAAACACTAATATTCCATGGTCATAATTTATTCCATTGGAATCGTAAATACGATCCAGTTCATCAGACCTACAAATCACGATTCCAATGAAATAAATTATGACCATGGAATATTAGTGTTTAAGCCTTTTTATTATATATATAATATATGGCACGGTGGAGTAATGGATAACGTCTTGGATTGAGAAATCGCAGAGCCGAGTTCGAATTCCAGTCGAATCCATTACATTCACTTACGTGCTAATATCCTTGGGAAAGGTATAAATCCTCTTTTTCTCCCTCCAACTATGGGTAAAATAGCAGGACAGACTGGGTTCTATATCCTTGGATGGCAACTGGTCTAGGAGAAAGACAACTCTGAATTCAAAACCTGCGGATGGTCGTTTGGGGACCTTGTGGCATTCAGTGCACCAGGTCTCTGTATTCGTCCCTTCAAAAAGTGTGGATGGTCCTGCACGAGGCCTTCACCACTATAATCAAATCTCATGTGCCGGTGTCGAGCTGTCGGTTTCATGGAAACTGATCTGCTTGACCCTCATACGTCGAATCTCGACGGGAGAGTCGATTATATATATATATATATATATATATTGTCATCCACAGACTGTTTTTCTGTATCACAGCTCATGTGGCTAGACATCCGATTGAGATTCTACCCCTGAGCTATCAGCTCCCGGTTGAAAGGAAAGCTAATTTTTACGTACTTATTCTTCGAATAAACACGTCAATTACTTGGTGGGGGTCAATTTATGGAAGAGATTTGCCGTATTAGCAATAGTAGTCATTGTTTACAAATTCGCGCTTTCTCTCTAGAGTGCTCGACCGGAATTAAATTTTCCGATGGCGTATATATTGTCATTCAAGGGACAGGCTGTTTCGCTGTATCACAGCTCATCAGTGTTGGTAGACATCCGATGTGTATGTGCAGTAATTCCTCATTTATGCAAGTTTCGTTGAAAACGACTGAAAACGTATGGTGACTGGGTTTTTTTTTTTTATATAATTTCTCATTTCCTTGCATAATTCTTTTTCTAATCAGGACATAAATTATATAAAAATGTCCGAATGCTTTCCAAGCGCTTTCGGTTATACTTCTAGCCATTATCAAGGATGAATTTTATTTTACTTTTAACTGATTATATGCATTGTTTTATGCATGTATCTAGCGTTATAAGAATGTTTTATTTTCCAAACACGGTCATAGTTGATATTACTGAGTTTTGGCTTTTTCTTTTTATTAATAATACTTCCATCATTTTTTGTCTTTTTGTACATGCGGATGTTACTATTATATTTGTATTATCAACGAGTATATTACGGATAGAATTTGGTAGGTCTCCATGTGTATTTACATGAGACCTAATTGAGCTATGGTCATAGAGATGTAAGGTGAGTCTTCTTGTTAAACATGTTGTAGTATATCCAATATAATTATTTACAAATTTGGATTGGTCAGAAACACATCTCTTTAAGGGATATTATTTTTGACGATGAGGTTAGGGTTTTTAAGTTTTTTTGTAATAATAATCTAATTTCTTTTGTTTTTGTTGAATGGAGTTATGTATTTCTTTATGATATTCACTTTGGAATATTTAGCTATCTAGATATTTGCCTCTGTGCCTTTTCCTTTCAGTATATCCTATGCTACCCCCAAATCTCGAAGACCTATTTCCCTTTTATGCACCCTACAAGTTTCAACTGTCATTTTCTTATTCTAAGTGCAAGTTTGTTTACATTTCCATTTCCCTTTTTCATCCGTCTGTAGTATTCTCAGCATCCTTCCGTAGAACCAGATCTCTGTTGCTTGAAGCCTTCTCTTCATTTATGAGGAAATTATATAGTATTCATTGTCATAGATGAGGATTGATATTGGATATATCTTCCTTTGTTTCAAACGAACAAATCCTGTTTATTCCGTTTGGCTTATGGAAAGCATCTTTTGCAATTAAAATACACGTTCTTCGGCTTTCGGTGTCACATTTTCCGTCATATGTTATTGATAATTTTTTTTTAGTTCATGTAGTTTATTAACTGGAGTGATTTTCAAGTGACCTCTGAGATATCAGGCGAGACATGGAAAACGCCCGATAGCTTGACTGATGAACAGACTGGTCGCCCTCTTCAAATTTCTCGACTACTTCTGCAGCCTTTCGCATTTGCAAGTGGCGCTCGGAGAATAAATGATAAAAGTGTGTGAAGCGGTGTATATGCATAAATGGATATAAATCTTTTTCAAATAAAAAAAAAAAGGATAAATAATTTAGAATAGGAAATTAATTTTGCATGACTGGAAATTTATATAGTTTTCTCATGGGAAAATCTTTGAACTTAAGTTAAAATGCCTTAGAATAATGTATACACATGCATACATGCATCATAATATGTATATATATATATATATATATATATATATATATATATATATATATATATATATATATATAGAATACATACATACATACATACATACATATATATATCATAATTGATTCGCTGATTGTCCATATGTTATATTTTACTTGCGTTTAACTGCTTTACACTAGATAATTCCTTTTGGATAAAAAGAAAGATTTACCGTTGAATGGGTTTAAAAGCATAAAAATTTAGGAAATCATTTTTGCACGAACAACAAAGCATATTTTCTTGAATCATGTTCAGTTAGCGACAATTGTCTGCCTTTCATTCTTTATATTTAAACGACAAAAGTTTCAAATTTTGACATTTTTGTTGAATACAAGAATTCATACAATTATTCTTATTAACATGCAAAATCTTTTAAGTAAATCTATCTATCTATCTATCTATCTATCTATCTATCTATCTATCTATCTCAATCTATTTCTATCACAATCTTTTTCTATTTATGTATCTTACCCTTTTCTTTCTTTCTTTCTTTCTTTCTTTCTTGCTTTCTTTCCTTCTATCTATGTATATATTTATCTCGCTATCTCAATTTGTTTCTATCTATCTATGTATCTAGCTATCTCAGTATCTATCTATCTGGATGTTTTCCTGTCTGTCAATCTCAATCTACTTTCTACTTTTATCACAATCTTTTTCTATTTATGTATCTCACCCTTTTCTTTCTTTCTTTCCTTTTTTCTTTCTATCTATCTATCTATCTATCTATCTATATGTATATATTTATCTTGCTATCTCAATTTGTTTCTATCAATGTATCTAGCTATCTCAATTTCTATCTATCTATCTATCTATCTATCTCAATTTGTTTTTATCTATCTATCTATCTATCTATCTATCTATCTATCTATCTATCTATCTCAATTTGTTTTTATCTATCTATCTATCTATCTATCTATCTATCTATCTATCTATCTATCTATATATATATATATATATATATTTCGATAAACGTGCAATCAATTTACAAATTCATGAATTATTCACACAAAAAATTTATAGAAACAAGGATCTTTTCATTCATAACGGATTCGGAGGTTTTTGTATATTATTTGAATTGTTTGCGACGATGGATTTCTCGCCAATTAAATCATTACCTTTGCATTTGTTTTTTGTGTGAATAATTCATGAATTTGTAAATTGATTGCACGTTTATCGAAATTAAAATAACTGATCCAAGTGCGACTTTTGGATAATAAGTGCGACATTACTGTAATTATTGAACAATATAGTTCATGCCACTTTGACAGAAAATTTACCAGTAAAAAATTCGTTTATTACCATATTTGTACATGAACGCACAACTGTAAAAAAATTAAAATCAAACTCAGCGTTGCTATTGCACGCTCCAAAAACAATAACTCATTTCCAATAGCATTTTCGGATACAACAATACATATATTTTCGTTGTTCTCTTATTACTAAGAGAAAAAACAAGAACAACATCTATTCCATACCTGAAGATGTCTGTAGGAACAGACGAAAGCTTGTAGTAACAATAAGAACTAATACGGCAGAAATTTATAGAAACAAGGATCTTTTCATTCATAACGGATTCGGAGGTTTTTGTATATTATTTGAATTGTTTGCGACGATGGATTTCTCGCCAATTAAATCATTAACCTTTGCATTTGTTTTTTGAGTGAATAATTCATGAATATATATATATATATTTGTCTGGCTATCACTGTTTGTTTGTTTGTTTCTTTGCATCTATCTATCTGGAGGTCAGCATGCTTTTTCGATATTTGCCAACACTCAGTAACCCTCTTGCGTCTTAGTAGCTTTATTGTCTGCTTGGGGTGCCTTCAGGACACTCGTATCTATTTGTATTTCTGCCTTACAATTTGTTTCTATATATTTACCTTTCAGTTTCCAAGTGGTTTAAATAAATGGGTGACTGGAATTTTATTTTTAAAATGTTCAGTAATTAAACACTTTATTTTACATTGCTTGCTGACAATATTGAGCGGAATGTATTGAATATTTTATAAAAGGAGTGTTTAAAGTAAGGATTTCCCAGGTCATTTTTTTCTCCATGAACGTGTAATCAACCGGGCCCGTTTATTCCAAGATCAAATATATCTATCTCAGATCAATGATTAAAAATGGCTTCGTGCAAATGAAGCCTGTAGGTTTTTAGAGGGGATCATACTTCTTCAAACCTCGTGGATTGGCGCTACAGAATCGCAGAGAACTGTACCAAATGGCAGAAATGACATCACTTGAGGAATTTCAACAGTAGCAACAACTAAAATGGTTAGCACATGTAACTCGAAGGGAAAATGAGATAATCAAGATGTTGACATTCCACACTACTTCAAACAGAAGGTTAGGAAGGAAACCTCTATCAATACTCCAAAGAGCGATAACAGCTACTAGACGTGAAAAAAAACATTTTCACGAAAAATTGTTTTAACAGAAAATTTTTGAACTTGAACCAAAAATAGTACCGGCTGCAAGTCAATGAATGCCGAATGTTTTCTTATAGAGAAACGGTGGATAATACTATTACCTGCTGATAGGTTGTCTTTTTAAAAAGAAATAATCCTAATTAAACACAACAACAAAACGTTGTTGATTTTTAATGTTAAACCGTCTCCATCTTGGATTAATTTTGAGATTGAATTCTCTTTGAATGTTAATGCTGTGTATATTCTTTTGTAAAATTCCAAGAATCAATCCTGCAAATTACTACAAGAGCAAAACATCTACCTGGAAATTCAAGTCATCTTTTTAAATAGCCTCATCAGATCGAAACTTTCATATGGATGACATGCATAGCAGAAAACCCGTTCAGAAATCACTAAACTGTCAGCTGCATGCAATCGCTTTCTAAGACCTAGCCTGAGGGTTCTGGCAAAGATCACTTTTTTTTAATCTCGTGAACTGACGCTACAGAATCACTAACAAATAACTGTGCCAGATAACAGAAACTACATCACTTGAGGACTTTCAACAGTAGCAACAGCTAAAATGGATAGCACATACAACTGGAAGAGAAAATAATGGCATAATCAAGCTATTGGCATTCCATAATACATTAAACAAAAGGTTAAAAGAGAACCCAACAGTATTGGGAAGAGAATTAAGAGTTTGCAAGCTTGAGAAAACTATTTTTCTGAAAAAAAGTTTAAGCGAATGATTTTATAATTTTCAAACGAAAGTAACACTGCCTGCTCATTCAATGAACGCCAAATGTTTGCTTATAAAGATATGACTAATATTACCATTACTATCTACCATATTTTCATGTCTATATCATCCTGGGTATGACGATAAACTACATCCGGCAGAAATACCTCTCATCGGTAAATTGTAGGTTTTGAGAAGTGTAGAAACCCCTCTTAACTGCTGTCGTTCCCAGGTCCATCCTGACCCGTGGTGGTAGTACCTGTTAGCACCCCAGCTATGAGCAAATAGTTAACTCCCAAACAAAAATTACAGTACATTTTTTATAATAAAATGACCATTACATTTTTACATCAAAATGACAATCAATGCAACACTAAAAAATAAAAATTATAGTAAAATTCCTAACCATACATTTTATCATCTAAAACCGTTTTAAAAACTTAGACTGCAACCAAGAGCAAGGCCTCTGATCAGGCTTTGAGGAGCGTGGAACTGGTGTTCCCAGGTCCACCCTGATGTGGGGTGCTAGCACCTGTTAGGGTCCCAGTTATGGGCAAATAGTTAACACCCAAACTTGTGTAAAAATAGGTTTTAATGCCAGAAATACTTTGTAATAAAGAAATCATTACTAGCAATAATTTTTGAAGGAAAAATTATTATCAGCAATACTTTAAAAAAATACCAATAACACATTCTTAAGTAGTTGGATTGTACTAAAAAAATATGAGTAATTGAAAAATGGTTCGAATATATATGTATACATACACAACTTTTTTTTCCAAACTATCGCTACGAATCTATTTCAAAAATTTTGTTGGCATTAAATGACCCACTGAGTTTTTGATATGCCATAAAACAAAACAACCAACCAACCAATTATCATCTAAAAACTATATATCTAAAAACATACCATTATTTTGAAAGTATTAAATTACGTACAAAATATTTAGATTTCGGCATTAAATAACCCATAGATGTTGATATACCACCAAACAAAACCAAACCCACTAAACAATCAACATGAAAGAACTTTCATGGCATTAGTCCATATAATAGCCTAGAATTTCTTAAATCAAACGGTATTCCAAAATATAACTTCAACTAAAAGATAAAACACACATATATCACCACCGCTAACATGGACATGTACAAAAGCTGAGTTTCATCTACCATGTATTCAATTGTGAAAACAGAATAACGTATATCATATTTTTATTCCTCAAAAAGATCCCAGGAAAGTTGAGTTTTGGTATTAAATGATCCATAAGACGTTGATATGCCTTTAAACAAATCAGTCAATTCCTGTGTATAATACAAGTTGGGTATAATATGACCCCGTGTTTCAGAAGCTAAAAATGGAATAAGTTGCCTCCTTAAGTTTAATACGAACTCGTTGTACAGCCATCTCTATGTATATATAATGACATCCAACTACGCTGATTCCCAAAGAACAATTATTGCCGACATATCAAATACCATTTGCAAGCAATTGTTATCAACACCTGCTTACTTTGTGTTTTATTATCTGTTGTGTTGAGTGGATTTGCAAACTTGCTGTTTCAAATAAGTTTTTTTTTTTAAACCGAGCAAACATTTCTGAAAAGTCTGCTTGTGTATGATACGACATCCCTTTTTTACGTTTAATTTTCCTTATGAATTTCTCGTATGATACACAAAAAATACGGTATCTATCTATCTATCTATCTATCTATCTATCTATCTATCTATCTATCTATCTATCTATCTATCTATCTTAATCTGTTCATCTGTTTCTCTTTATCTATTTATCTATCACAAACTGTTTATCTATATCTATCTATCTATCTATCTATCTATCTATCTATCTATCTATCTATCCCAGTCTGTTCATCAGTCTCTTTTTATCTATCTATCTATCTATCTATCTATCTATCTATCTATCTATCTATCTATCTATCCCAATCTGTTCATCTGTTTCTCTTTATCTATCTATCTATCCCAATCTGTTCATCAGTCACTTTTTATCTATCTATCTATCTATCTATCTATCTATCTATCTATCTATCTATCTATCTATCTATCTATCTGTTTTTCTTTATCTGTGTTAACGTCTACGTTATGAATGAACACTGTACATGTAAGAGGAAAAACTTTATATCAGGCCAGGGTATCCATCATTGTTTTTTTTAAAGATTATTTTTAAAAAGTCACTTTCATACTGCTTTATCAAATATGATTGCCATAGTTATTTCTGTTCCATACGCCAATTTTTAAAACTCGGCTAATAGTCAGAATCTTAATGACTTTTGAGAAAAGCAGCTCTCCAACGCCTGATCTATCTATCTATCTATCTATCTATCTATCTATCTATCTATCTATCTGTTCATCAGTCTCTTTTTATCTATCTATCTATCTATCTATCTATCTATCTATCTATCTATCTATCTATCTATCTCAGTTTCTTTCTATCTACACTAGCTGATTCAAGTAGACGGAGTCGTTTGAATAAAATCCGAAGGCTGATATTTTCTTCATAATTTTTTTTCGTACTTAATTGTTCACAGCCTACAATTAAAAAAGTGAGAAAGAGCAATACAAATGCAGCAGAACGTGTACCTGTGTTTTATAGACTACGCAAAGGCGTCCGACAAAGTATGCCACAAAGATTTGTTCGAGCTGCCCAGTAACCTTGACATATTCGGGAAAACATTAGAATAATCAAAAATCTCTACTGGCAGGGAACCGCCTGCATAAAGATAAAAAAAATCAGTTCAGCAGATATGCAAAAATAGAAAGGGGCGTAAGACAAGGATGGGTCGTCTCACCGGGCTTATTCA